GTGAGAGGGCTTATACCTTGTGAGAGGGCTCATACCTTGTGAGGGCTTATACCTTGTGAGAGGGCTCATACCTTGTGAGAGGGCTTATACCTTGTGAGAAGGTTCACACCTTGTGAGAGGGCTCATACCTTGTGAGGGCTCATACCTTGTGAGAGGACTCATGCCTTGTGAGAGGGCTCATACCTTGTGAGAGGGCTTATACCTTGTGAGAGGGCTTATACCTTGTGAGAGGGCTTATACCTTGTGAGGGCTTATACCTTGTGAGAGGACTTATACCTTGTGAGAGGGCTTATACCTTGTGAGAGGGCTTATACCTTGTGAGAGGGCTCATACCTTGTGAGAGGGCTTATACCTTGTGAGAGGGCTTATACCTTGTGAGAGGGCTTATACCTTGTGAGAGGGCTCATACCTTGTGAGAGGACTCATACCTTGTGAGAGGGTTCACACCTTGTGAAGGCTCATACCTTAGAGGACTCTTACTTGTGAGAGGGCTTCATACCTTGTGAGAGGGCTATACCTTGTGAGAGGGCTTATACCTTGTGAGAGGATCATACCTTGTGAGAGGACTCATACCTTGTGAGAGGGCTTATACCTTGTGAGAGGGCTTATACCTTGTGAGAGGACTCATACCTTGTGAGAGGACTCATACCTTGTGAGAGGGCTTATACCTTGTGAGAGGGCTCATACCTTGTGAGAGGACTCATACCTTGTGAGAGGGCTTAACTTGTGAGAGGCTCATATCACTTTGTGAGAACTAATACCTTGTGAGATAATTTGCTATTGGTAGATAATTGAGTACAAAAATAACCTTGTGAATGTGGCATACTTAAATATCTAATATAATGTGGATGGGCTATAACCCTTCCTGATGCAGGGTTACACTTTGAGCAAAAGCTTTCTTTTTCTTTTAGGTCACCCTATCTTGGTGGATACGGCCCAGTTTGATTGAAAAAAAAAATAATGGGGAGCACTAAACTCATAGGCAATATTGTGTGCTGGGAATGAAAGCCTGTGAAACTGAATTCGAGTGAGAAGGAGCTCAAACTCCTTGATCAGAGGCCTTCAGCATCAATACCATCCCCCTGTGACAGGTTGAAGAATTTAATGGACATGATTCTCTGTGAATATACATCTAGTAAGGTAAGATACAGGGTTTATGTATGATGATTCAGTCAGTACCTTTAAGTAGTATTATATTAAATTATTACATCAAACTAGCATTAAAACAGGGTCCATACGCTCAGTACAGCCTCTCCACACTTTAACGATGGAGTTCATCCCTAAAACCGTCGTTTAGAACAGTCGTCACTAAGTGAGGAGATATATAGCATGGGTTGTGTCACAACCTCTCTGATAGGTTTTATGTCACCTTTGCACCATATAACCATTTTGGTATATTTGTTAAATAGTATACAGTAGTGTACTGTATATTGAAATAACAGATATTAGAGGGAATCAGATCTAAATACTTATTGTAGGCTGAATACTGTCAGAGGCCCATCATAAGTCGAGGCGTCGGCAAACAATACGTTGTAGAGAGACGCTGCATATTTAAAAGATATTCTACAGTTCAAGTGCAGATGATCAATCATATCTGCGTTTCAAGAATCAATATCTAACTACTTATTGTTTTTTGTGTGCGAACTGCAGTTTTAGTACTGTATATAGAACTTTTGGCTTATTAAAGAAGTTTAGCAACAAAGTTTTATATATGGCTCCTGGATCCTTGCTCAATTACAACATCATGGGTCAGTATGAACAATGTAGTATTTCTCGTGGATATTTTTTTTCTGCAGCATGTATGAGCATGTTAAGATAGGAGAGAGTCGAGGCAAATGGTGTTTGGGACCTGACGTGCTGTTGGAGTGCGAGCAAGGTAACATTTTGCGAGAGGAACGGGTTAGCCAGACTAGAGTCCTGGAGGTGGGGAGTACAGTGTCTGCATTCTAAAGGCGGGGCTAGAGATATTTGCTGTTTGGAGAGACGTCTGAACTGTCATATCTGAGTGCCTCTGGGAAGATGGTGACAGTGTGAATGATGGTGAAGGTGCTTCTTTTTCAGGCCACCCTACATCAGTGGGAGATGGCCAGTGTGTTCAAAAAAATTATTTTTCACTCCTGAGTAATTAATTATAAGCATGAACATATTTTAAGGTGAAGACTCACAAAACTGTAATAGCAAGATTGCAAACAAATCAGGGAACAGGTAGGCCTTGAACCCTTGGTAAGCAAGTCTTAAAATACACAGGAAAGTGTGGTAACCACTTGACCAGCTGGCCCCACCCACTCCATGATGACACATGGAAAAGATACACAACTTGCAGAAATTTTTAAGACATTTTACCTATAGGAGAATTTTATTCAGCCAATACACAGTGATGAACATGAATACAGTGGACCCCTGGTTAACAATATTTTTTCATTCCAGAAGTATGTTCAGGTGCCAGTACTGACCGAATTTGTTCCTATAAGGAATATTGTGAAGTAGATTAGTCCATTTCAGATCCCCAAACATACACGTACAAACACACTTACATAAATACACTTACATAGTTGGTCGCATTGGGAGGTGATCGTTAAGCGGGGCTCCACTGTAATTATAATCAGGTGAGTGAGGTCAGTTTGGGTGGAGTACAGAACAGGGGTACTGTTTTGATGACCTATTTATCAAAGAGAAGTTGAGCTAAAGGTCTGGATAAACTGAAAGCTCATTGATTCTTTTTAATTGTATTTTGTGTACTGATCATCACAGTTTCCAGGCAACAATAGACGTTGCCACCATCACACCCAGCACCACCCAAGACTTGACCGGGCTTAGACAACCACCCAGACAACAGTAATACAGGTTACTGTTGTTTTCAACCCAAGCTGGTCATCAAAGAAATGGGTAAAACAGGATATAGATGCCTGGAAGCTGCACTGATCTGTATACAAAATACAATCCAATAAAATCAAACTTTCAATTTAAGCAAAATTTTAGCTCAACTTCTCTTGCAAAAAGAAGTCATCAACAACGACCAGAAGTCCACCTGCAGTGACCACATCTCACACTCCACTCACAATGGATGTCACTGACCCAGCCACTCACCCGATTATGCTTCTATAAATACAGGAGGCCCTCCACATTCGTGAGGGTCAGGGGACCAAGAACCTCGCGAATCTTGAAAATTTGTGAATGTTTAGTGCACAAATATGTAGTGGGGAAATATAATAATACTGTACTGTAGTGTTTGTGAATGTTTTGATGTGCAAATATATTGTAGAGAAATATAACAGCATTTACTTTGCCTAACAATACTACTTCCTTAACCTAAAATATGGTAAAATATTGTACGTATGTACATTTTTCTTTTTCAACAAGTCGGCCGTCTCCCTCCTAGGCAGGGCGACCCAAAAAGAAAGAAAATCCCCAAAAAGAAAAAAACTTTCATCATTCAACACTTTCACCTCACTCACACATAATCACTGCAATATACATGTTACAGTTTAATAAATAATGAACAAACAAAACACTCACCACTGGTAAGGTTAGGCAGACGAACTCTGACGACTTGTGATGATGACAATAATGATGGTGATGATAGCCATGCAGTTACTGATGACAGTTGAATGGAGGTGATTATATGGAGTGTAACTGCATGCCATGATGAGTCTAGTGTGTGGATTCTAACTGCTGACATCACTCGAGTCAGAGTTAGCAACAGAGTCAGATTCTGCCACGAGTTGAGGGTTAGGTGAGGCGGTAGGGGTAGTGGTAGGCTTCCTTGCGAAGAACATTGTGATGGGCAACTGAGACTGGCGGCAAGCATTTTCCTGGACTTTTTCCCTGCACCTGTTTGGTATATATGATTGGGCAGCTGGGCATCAGCAAATGTTCAAAGTACGTGAAAGTGGAGGGCTAGCTGTGTGCTTGCTGTCCATCTCTGTGTAATGACATGAAGTCTGTGCTGTAGGCAAAATCTCTTCCTCTCCACAAATTGTCTATCATCTCCAGATTTTCAATTACAAAATATATTATGTTGTTCCAGGGCTCCACATACCCTCCATTCCCCACTGCATACTTCAGGAGCATGTAAATTAATCTTTACTTTGAATATCAGGTGTGGTTTAGTAATGATTAAAATGTGGTTTATATGGTAACACCGAGACCTTACAGAACCAATGGATTAAGTACAAAGCCTTGTTTCAGCACGTTATTATTATTATACAGCAGTACCCCGAGTTTCTAACTTTCTTCATTCCAGAAGGCTGTTCAAGGGCCGTTACCAAACGAATTTGTTCTCATAAGGAATAACGTAAATTAGATTTGTCCGTTTCAGACCCCAAAATACTTACAAAAGCACTTTCAATATAACACTTACATAACTGGTTGAATTGGGAGCAGTTTGAAACTCGGAGTACCACTGTATTTGGGGGAAAGCATTAAACACACAGTCATACAGCACCTCAGAAATGGAAGGTCATAAGGGTCTACCCAAAGAAGGGAAGGATAAATCCATTTCTTGTATCCAGAGCCCCTTACCAGCATCAAGAAACCTTGACTCAAGAAATCGTAATGACACGATTGCAAATAAACCATACCCCCGGCCGGGATTGAACCCGCGGTCATAGAGTCTCAAAACTCCAGCCCGTCGCGTTAGCGGGTTCAATCCCGGCCGGGGGTATGGTTTATCAAGAAACCTTATGTGAGGGAGAAATGAACCTGATAGCTACAAGTGTTCTCCATGGGGAAGTGGAACAGAATTCTCCTCTGTAAACCATGTGTGTTGTAAGAGGCGACTAAAATGCCGGGAGCAAGGGGCTAGTAACCCCTTCTCCTGTGTATACATGCATTACTAAATTAAAAAGGAGAAACTTTCGTTTTTCCTTTTGGGCCGCCCCACCTCAGTGGGATACGGCTGGTACATTGAAAGAAAAGCTACAGGTGTGAAAATGTCACCTAACCTATCACCCCATATATGCAAGATAGTAGTCTGTAACATAAATAAAATGTAACCAATCTAATTTTAAATGCTTTTATTAAAATCTTAACAGTTTAAAATAAATGACAAGACAAATATATTTAGTTTGTAATTTTCTTAACATGTCAACCTTTACATATTCTCCTGACACAATACTCTCCATGAATACCGACACCAAAATATTTCCTAAATTGCCATGAACTTTTTTGTCATTAATAAATCAGATTAATATGGTCTCTATGGGCAGTGAAGCAAGAATCAAAGTTACCTTGTACTTCCATAATGTAGGCTTTTAAACCATTACTGGGCTAAATGTACTCTAGCATAGGAGAATCTATTACTTTTGAAAAGTTTTATGTAATGATGCTAATAAACTATTAATAACTAAATAATGATGTTATGTGACCAGAATGTATATCTTACAATACACTGTACTACATTACTTTGTCATATAGATGTAGTGAACAATTATATCAATCAATGGCAGGAGTCTTTGAGCCAACCAAAGAAAATAAAATCTGCATACTGTTCAACCTGTAACAGTCATTTTATCCAATGACATCAACTAAATCAATGAACACATCTAACTATTGAACATTTGTACAATTGAGAAGTCTTCAGACAATCAGTCAGAAGTTTGCTGTTAAATCTGGTGTCCAGCCTCTCCTGCAACACTGCACTGGATGAATAACCAACAGTCATTATCACCGGTGATTGGCAGTCGTGGATTCCCGTCTATCCTCATTGCTGCAGGAAAAAATTACCATTACACAGGTACACATGAAAAAAATCAAGAGCATATTAATGAGTGTATAAAGAAACTTATGAGGCACCTTAATCTGATATTCTCATTCCTAGGAAGGTTGTCCCAATCCTGAAATGAGTTTCTCCATTCAAAGTTTCTAATAATTTTTTCCTATAAATTTTACTCACATCAGAAATTTAACCTAAACAACAAGTGTTTCTTCTTTTTTGGGTCACGCTGCCTCCGTGGCAGATGGTTGGTGTGTAAAAAAAACTCGTATACAATCATAAAAAAAACCTTGTGTAGTCATGAAAAAAAAAAACGAAACCTCAAGCACACTACCAGCACAAGTCATCGTCTTTCAACAAACTAGGGGTATCCCACCGAGGCAGGGTAATATATACAGGAGAAGGGGTTTACTAACACAAGTATTATATATACATAAAAAAAGTCACCTTAATAATGCTAAATTATATACAAAACTGCTTCTAAATAGCGCTGGGATCATACCAAAATTTTTGCTGATACAATCACAACTACTTGATACTCATCAGTGGGGATATTAAATTTTATGCTGATAAAAATAGTCAAAATTAGCCAATGCTGATATTTTGGCACATCCCTAATTCTAAATAAGACTGAATATTTATTACCATGAGATTATTATATGAAACCATGTCAACAGAAGAACATTTATTAATGGCATACACATTGCTCTCGTACAGATGAAATCAATTAGAACGTAGGCAAGGTAACATTTATGAAGGGATTCTGGGAAACCAGTTAGATGGACTTGAGCCCTGGAGGTGTGATGTACAGTGCCTGCACTCTGAAAGTAGCGTGGGGATATTGCAGTTTGCAGGGTCATCTGAGATGTATTATTATTATTACAATCAAAACTAAGTGCTAAACCAACAAGGGTCATACAAAGCTGTCTGAGCTGTAATGATACTGTGCCTCTGGCAAGACAGTTATGGAGTGAGTGATGGTGGAATTGCTTCTTGTTTTCAGGTCACTCTACCTTGGGAGACGGTCAGTGCTAAGCAAAAATTAAATTGGTGAAAATCTTTTTCGTTTTGGTTTTCCACCCTGCCAGGGAACTGCCCAGGGCCAGCAGGAGGTGTCAGAGGATGCAAGCATGTTTTCCACCCTGCCAGGGAACTGCCCAGGGTCAGCAGGAGGTGTCAGAGGATGCAAGCATGTTTTCCACCCTGCCAGGGAACTGCCCAGGGTCAGCAGGAGGTGTCAGAGGATGCAAGCATGTTTTCCACCCTGCCAGGGAACTGCCCAGGGCCAGCAGGAGGTGTCAGAGGATGCAAGCATGTTTTCCACCCTGCCAGGGAACTGCCCAGGGTCAGCAGGAGGTGTCAGAGGATGCAAGCATGTTTTCGACCCTGCCAGGGAACTGCCCAGGGTCAGCAGGAGGTGTCAGAAGATACAAACATGTTTTCCACCTGCCAGGGAACTGCCCAGGGCCAGCAGGAGGTGTCAGAGGATACAAGCATGTTTTCCACCCTGCCAGGGAACTGCCCAGGGTCAGCAGGAGGTGTCAGAGGATGCAAGCATGTTTTCCACCCTGCCAGGGAACTGCCCAGGGCCAGCAGGAGGTGTCAGAGGATGCAAGCATGTTTTCCACCCTGCCAGGGAACTGCCCAGGGTCAGCAGGAGGTGTCAGAGGATGCAAGCATGTTTTCGACCCTGCCAGGGAACTGCCCAGGGTCAGCAGGAGGTGTCAGAAGATACAAACATGTTTTCCACCCTGCCAGGGAACTGCCCAGGGCCAGCAGGAGGTGTCAGAGGATACAAGCATGTTTTCCACCCTGCCAGGGAACTGCCCAGGGTCAGCAGGAGGTGTCAGAGGATACAAGCATGTTTTCCACCCTGCCAGGGAACTGCCCAGGGTCAGCAGGAGATGTCAGAAGATACAAGCATGTTTTCCACCCTGCCAGGGAACTGCCCAGGGCCAGCAGGAGGTGTCAGAGGATACAAGCATGTTTTCCACCCTGCCAGGGAACTGCCCAGGGTCAGCAGGAGGTGTCAGAGGATGCAAGCATGTTTTCCACCCTGCCAGGGAACTGCCCAGGGCCAGCAGGAGGTGTCAGAAGATACAAGCATGTTTTCCACCCTGCCAGGGAACTGCCCAGGGCCAGCAGGAGGTGTCAGAGGATACAAGCATGTTTTCCACCCTGCCAGGGAACTGCCCAGGGTCAGCAGGAGGTGTCAGAGGATGCAAGCATGTTTTCCACCCTGCCAGGGAACTGCCCAGGGTCAGCAGGAGGTGTCAGAGGATGCAAGCATGTTTTCCACCCTGCCAGGGAACTGCCCAGGGCCAGCAGGAGGTGTCAGAAGATACAAGCATGTTTTCCACCCTGCCAGGGAACTGCCCAGGGCCAGCAGGAGGTGTCAGAGGATACAAGCATGTTTTCCACCCTGCCAGGGAACTGCCCAGGGTCAGCAGGAGGTGTCAGAGGATGCAAGCATGTTTTCCACCCTGCCAGGGAACTGCCCAGGGTCAGCAGGAGGTGTCAGAAGATACAAGCATGTTTTCCACCCTGCCAGGGAACTGCCCAGGGCCAGCAGGAGGTGTCAGAGGATACAAGCATGTTTTCCACCCTGCCAGGGAACTGCCCAGGGCCAGCAGGAGGTGTCAGAGGATACAAGCATGTTTTCCACCCTGCCAGGGAACTGCCCAGGGTCAGCAGGAGGTGTCAGAAGATACAAGCATGTTTTCCACCCTGCCAGGGAACTGCGCAGGGCCAGCAGGAGGTGTCAGAGGATACAAGCATGTTTTCCACCCTGCCAGGGAACTGCCCAGGGCCAGCAGGAGGTGTCAAGGATACAAGCATGTTTTCCACCCTGCCAGGGAACTGCCCAGGGCCAGCAGGAGGTGTCAGAAGATACAAGCATGTTTTCCACCCTGCCAGGGAACTGCCCAGGGTCAGCAGGAGGTGTCAGAGGATACAAGCATGTTTTCCACCCTGCCAGGGAACTGCCCAGGGTCAGCAGGAGGTGTCAGAGGATACAAGCATGTTTTCCACCCTGCCAGGGAACTGCCCAGGGTCAGCAGGAGGTGTCAGAAGATACAAGCATGTTTTCCACCCTGCCAGGGAACTGCCCAGGGCCAGCAGGAGGTGTCAGAGGATACAAGCATGTTTTCCACCCTGCCAGGGAACTGCCCAGGGCCAGCAGGAGGTGTCAGAGGATACAAGCATGTTTTCCACCCTGCCAGGAACTGCCCAGGGTCAGCAGGAGGTGTCAGAAGATCAAGCATGTTTTCCACCCTGCCAGGGAACTGCCCAGGGCCAGCAGGAGGTGTCAGAGGATACAAGCATGTTTTCCACCCTGCCAGGGAACTGCCCAGGGCCAGCAGGAGGTGTCAGAAGATGCAAGCATGTTTTAGTAGGTAACTTAACTCATATCAATATAATAATTTCTAATAATCTGTTAAAACCCATACTGACAGACCAGTGTACAAAACTTTAAATATCTTAACTCACACAATATACTAGTGATTAATGCTGATGCTATGCCTAAAGATAATTCTCATAATAATATAACTGGTGTTCATTCTTATATCACTCTGAATGCTGGAGATAATGTTTATATTTCTTTTTAACACACCGGCCATCTCGCACTGAAGTATAAACACATAAGCCTCATATAGTACCCAGGGAATAGAAGGAAGAAAAGGAAGAGTACTCACAATTCCTTGGATCGAGAACCCTTTACCAGAGTCATAGTGGACAGTGACAGTCAAGAGCATATCGAAGATTCAAAACAGCATACCGAAGGGACTTGTAAAATTACTTGCCATGTATTTATCTTGTGCAATGAAGTGGGTTAATTGAGAATTTAAGTCACAACACATTAGCTGGAACAATTTACAAAAAAACTAAATTTGGAGGACACCTTAGACTGGTATTCATTTTGCTTGAGCTGTATTCTCATCTGATAATAGGATGGTGAGAACAAAATCCATTTACAATCATCATGGCTCCTCTCCCTGGAAAGTTGAAAATTTTCTCAACATTTCTTACTTGTCCAGGTACTTAAAACTCAAGAAGAAATTACTAAAACATTACCAAATTTCCAAATACCAGTACAGTAGTTGTTTTGCTATCATTAAGGTAAGATGGCTTCTCTTCCCACTGTGTAACAAAGTGAAACAGTGAGGAGTGTCTAAGCAAGTACAAATAATTGAATTAAAAGGGAGAAAACAGGAAAAATACACACTGGTAGGTAATAGGAAACAAAAACCAAAAAATAAAAAAAACATTAATTAGAGAGCATTACCTCACTTGAAAATAAAGAACACAAGCTTGCCCAAGAACCAAAGGGCATGACTTTCCCTGAGAAGCAAAAGGCATGACCTTACCTGAGAACCGAAGGGTCCACTGTGATCGTCGGTTCTATGGACTGGATAATTCTCCAAGTCTAGTGTGAGCACTTTGCTGATCAGACACTCACCAGGCTGTGGAGTAATGCTAAGTTGTAGTTGCTTATGGTACATATTTTAAAAACACCTATCCTAAAATTTCATTCAAGCATGGTACCCTTTACAAATTTTATTAATTTTTGTAACCCAATGATTTTTACTGCGTTTATTATTATTACTATACTGTTTTATAATTACTAAATCCTATTATTGTGTAATTCCAATACCAGTGAGGAACTAAAATATAAGTGCTTACATCAGGACAAATTCCAACAAGAGCATCAGCATTCTGGTAAAACTCTTCTTTCAGAGAGATGACAATAGTCTGCAAGTGTGCCTTCATCTCCACAATATATGATGCAACCTTGCCAATGTTGGTGTTATCTAAGGCTGCATCAATCTCATCCAAGACAAAAAACGGAGCAGGCTGATAGCTGTCGTAAAGATAATTATCAAATGTTACATTACATTCCACAATGAGAGAAAAAAGCATATCTATTACACTAGAACTCTAACTACTAGACATTAATTATTGGTAAATTTAAGGGCAAGTGCTAAATCAATAGGGGTTATACAACACTTGGAAATTAGGGTTAATCTAAATTGGGAGGGCAGGTTTAATTTCATGGAGTAAGAGCTCATCATTAGTACCAAGTCAGTCCTTTTCCTTGAAGGGTACTAGATTGTAAACTATCCTTGATAATCTACATATTTTCCAGTTGCATGGGGTGAGGAAGCACCAACCATAAAAAGATAATCATGTTGATACATATATATTCAACAAAATTCTCCCTCTGTAGCATATTACATGCTAACTAAAGGTGAAGACCGGTTGTGAGACAGGTTTTTATCCTGCAATTAGTGAACAGAAGATTGAACCTCAAACACTCCTTATACCCATACTGTATGTCATATGCAAATTTCTGTCTATAAAATGGCACCATACATTAAAATTAATCTAGCTAGTATATAACCTCAGAATTTTCAAAGGTGGTAAGTTAGGGAAAGATAAGAGTTGTTGAGAGTGGATAGCAATGGAGGCTGACTATTAAGAGTTCATGGATTATGGGTGAGGACGGTGCAGTTTCAAGGGTCATTTGAATTATGTTCATGCACTTCAAACATGACAGCTACTGAATGGGTGATGGTGAATTTCTTTCTTTCTTTGGGTCACTACCCAAGTGGAAAATGGCAGTGTGGTTAAAAGGGAAAGAATATAAGAGAAAACTCAGGAAACTGCAGTGATGATGGATGAATGAGGAATAAGAGGGTTAAGAGATAGACAGGAAGAAAGGAGGGATGAGGAAAAAGAATGAAGTATGGAGACTTAACTCGTAAACGGTCCAAGCAGATCTACGTTCATATGCATAGTGCTCCAAAAGTAGATCTGCGTTTTTTTTTTTTACATATTTTCAAATATAACAAAAAAAAAAAAAAAAAAAAAAAGATCAAAGTTTTTTTACACATTTTCAATGTTAAAAAAAAAAAAAAAAGATTTACTTTTTTCACATAATTTCAAATGTTGAAAAAACGCATATATACGTTTGGACCGTTTACGGGTTAAAGGAACTCTATAAAGTTAAGAAAACAGTAAAGTCACTCATGCAATGTAAATAGTTTAGAAAACTGACAAGTTTAAGAATGACAGCCTGGAGTCTATGTGGTCAGGCCATCAATCTTTTCTCAAGATTGATGGATTGAATACATCAATTAGCTGGTGAAATATTTCCTCAATAAAGATTCCCGAATGTTGCAACAGTGTCTCATTCTTCAAAGCCACTCATACCTGTGGATGCCAAAGAGAAGTGCCAAAGCAGCTATGGTCTTCTCTCCACCAGATAAATTTGACATAGGTTGGAACCTCTTGCCTGGAGCAACACAGTTGTAGTTGATGCCATCAAGGTAAGGTTCTTCTGGATTCTCAGGTCCCAAAAATGCTTGTGCAGAGGGATTTTTGGCTAGTGCCTAAAAGGAAGAAAATTTCTAAGTGCCCAAACCAATAAATCATGGTTGAAATATTGAAAACATGCATGAAGCCTTTATTTGTTTCAAGCATTCATGAAATCTTTCAAGAGTTATATTTAGGAAAAACAAAAAAGATCTTGTTCTAGGAGTGAATACCAGATAAGCACAGGTTGCTGTGACGATATATTGTTTCAATAAGACTTAGACAAGGCTAAATGCCCTCATTAGATGTTCTGCTATATTGACAAAATACTTCTGTCACAAACTTCCCTCAAAATAAGTGGGAGACAGCTGGTACGTTGAAAACACACCGGCTGTCTCCCACTGAGGCAGGGTGACCTGAAAAAGAACAAAGATTTCCAACTTTTTACATTTAGTAATGTATACAGGAGAAGGGGTTACTAGCCCCTTGCTCCCGGCATTTTAGTTGCCTCTTACAACACACATGGTTTATGAAGGAAGGATTCTTTTCCACTTCCCCATACTGTATTAAAATAAAAACAAGCTCCTTTCTTTACCTTGTAAATGCCATCAATTTCATTGGATACATGTTCGAAGAATGACATGAATCGGTCATATCGCTCTTTCTTTGCTCTCTCAAATGCCTGCTTGGCCTTCTTGGCACGTTTGCGAGCACTGTCAAATTCAGAATTAGTTTCTTGAAGTTTTTCTCTTGCCAGGTCCAGCTTTTGCATTGCCTTCATGTTGGGTGCCTACACCACACACATCAAGGTATAATAATTAACAAAATTACATATTTATTAAGTACTGTAATACACCAATATTTTTTTTTTTTAGACACAAAGCAGAAATATTACAATTATTCCTTATCCTGTTAGCAATTTTATAGAACATTATATTTTTTTTTTAACAAGTCGGCCGTCTCCCACCGAGGCAGGGTGACCCAAAAAAGAAAGAAAATCCCCAAAAAGAAAATGCTTTCATCATCATTCAACACTTTCACCTCACTCACACATAATCACTGTTTTTGCAGTGGTGCTCAGAATACAACAGTTTAGAAGCATATACGTATAAAGATACACAACATATCCCTCCAAACGGCCAATACCCCGAACCCCTCCTTTAGAGTGCAGGCAATACTGTACTTCCCATTTCCAGGACTCAAGTCTGACTATATGAAAATAACCGGTTTCCCTGAATCCCTTCACTAAATATTCACTAAATATTATATATTGTGTAAAACAACCTATTATACTTTCAAAACCTATATAATGTTTAATATTATATGATGGGGAATGTGGTTTAATTATTACAGAAAACATAATAGTATATATAAAAAATAGAAATTTTCTAAGATTTTCCAGAGAAAATTGTTTCATTAAACTTATTTGAACAAAACTATAAAACAGATCTTTACCAACATCAAGTTACCTGAATACGTTGTATGGTGTTCATGAGCTCATTGATGTGCTTTTGCATGCGCTTTTCAGCTTTATGTACATCTTCTGAATCGTCCAGTTCCTTCTGGTTCTCGGAGAGAGATGAATAGTCCAACACAATACGTGCCTCCTTCTCATACATCACCTGTAATGTCATCTTAATAATTAGTATTAAATCCATAAAGACCCAATAAACCCATATAGGCCATTACTCCTGTCTGTACCATAGGGATAACACCAGATGAGCCTGGCCCATGGCCAGGCTCCAGCAGAAAGATTCCCTCAAATCTCATCAAAGGTATATCCATATATATGTGGATCTCTCTAACTGCTACACAGTGTCACATACAGTACCTAGGGAATGGGAGGAGTAGGAGGCAATCAGGTTTGATCCAACGATAAGGAATCACATGCAATTATCACATATACACACTTACATTTTTATCAGAATATTCATGAATGAATATTATTAACAGAATGACGGCACCATCCTCAACTTACATAATATACATTAGCCCAATCCCTCCCTAACCACTGGGTAAGGAGCCTCTTGTCCCCACTGTGTACACAAGTATTGTAGGAAAACATAAGGTAAAGACAGTCACCAACAACAGAATATGGACATGGACTGGGCCATGGGGGCATTGATCCCCAGAATGCCCTCCAGGTAGATACATTTCTATCAATACCTGCTGCCCCTCTGTCAGTTGATTAAAAAAAAATTATGTGAATGTAAGGTGTGCCTGCAAGCTCATTTTTTGGAGTGCAGTTTTACACAGATGTTGTATTATGGCAACATGACCTCTTGGCACAGTAGCTCAACACCTGCTCTTCATACAGATGAATCATGTAACAACAGTGCACATTATTATATTATTATTATTATTATAATAAAAAAGAAGCGCTAAACCACAAGGGCTATACAGCGCTGCAGGGCAGGAAGGAAGCAGGGGTATCAGGTGGCAAAAGGGAGAGGAATAATTAGTAGGGTACGGAGAACAGCGGGGCAGTGGATAGTACAGGGGTAGAGGGTAGCAAGAGAATGAGGTAGAAAGGGCTGAGGGGAGTGCGAAAGGTATCGTCATCAGAGTTTGAGGAGTAAGTCAGTTGTTGTCAAGAAGTCAATGAGAGAGTCAGGATTAAAGGAGGGTCCATCAGCAAGAAGGGAAGGTAGAGAGAGTAGAGCAGAGACGACGTTGGAGGTAAATTCTGCGTGCTCGTTGATATAGAGGGCAGTCTAACAGAATGTGGCTAACTGATACTGGAACCTGGCATGTCTCACAAAGAGGAACAGGGTGCCTCTCCATGAGATAACCACTAGTAAGATGAATGTGGCCAATGCGAAGACGGGAGAGAGTAGTCTCCCAACCTCGACACTGATGACAAGAAGACGGCCAGTAACCTATACTCGGTTTAATAGAATGAAGTTTGTTACCGAGTAGATTAGACCAACATTGTTGCTAATGGGTGTGAAGGTGGGTAGTTATTACAGCAAAATAGTCAGTAAATGGAACACCTCTATATGAAACTGGTAGGTCATGTACGGCTGACCGCGCAGCAGTGTCTGCCTGTTCACTGCCTTGTACGTCAACATGATCAGGGACCCAACAAAAAAAAAAAAATATCTTTATGCTTGGTAGAGATACAGCGTAGCCAAAGTTAGATACGGAGGACTAGGGGGTGAGGTGTATCAAATTTTCGTATAGCCTGTAGAGCACTAAGGGAGTCTGAGACAACCACAAATGATGACACAGGCATAGATGCAATACGGATAAGTGCTGCGAGAATGGCATACAATTCAGCTGTAAAAATGCTAGCCGAGGATAGTAAATGCCCACGCACGACACTGTCCGGAAACACTGCTGCGAATCCGACGCCATCAGAAGACTTGGAGCCATCTGCGTACACTGCAATGGAATGAGAGCGGAAGTGGTCAAGAAAAAGAGAGCGGGAAGCTACCGTAGGCAGTTGGGCTTTCGCGCAAGGGAGCGAGAAACAACAGACTTGGACAGCTGGAACTTCCCAGGGAAGGCAGGGAAAAGTGAGATGCTACATGAACATAGAAAGGTGGTAACCGAAGGGAAGACGAGCAAACAGGGGCGACGAACAAATAAAAAATGTCTACTAACATCGGTGGCTATTCTATATATGGAAGGATTGCGGAGATCATGAGAGCAAACATAGTAGCGAAGGCAATGGGCATCGCGGCGATCGGACAACAATGGAATATTCGCTTCTGCATAGAGGCTCTCAACAGGGGAAGAGTGAAAACACCAAGGCACAAATGTAATCCCTGGTGATGAATGGGATTAAGGCTCAAGAGAGTAGTATAAGAAGCCGCTGAATAGATCTGATCACCATAATTGAGTTTCGACAAAATGAGGGCTGGATGTAGGCGAAGGAGAGTTCGACGATCAGCTCTCCATGAAAAATGAACAAGGGTTTTAAGAAGGTTCAGCCGGCTGTGACAAGTTGCCTTCAGAGAGGTAATGTGAGGTTTCTAGGACAACCTACAGTCAAAGAGAAGGCCTAGAAACCTGACTGTATCACGTTCAAGGATACGGGAGCCATAGAGGTACAAAGGATGATCGGAGATGACAGAGCATCTGGTGAAAGTAATTTGATGAGTTTTGGTACTGGAAAATTTAAACCCATGTGTGGTGGCCCAATTGGAAACACGGTTGGCTGCATGTTGGAGAGAAACTGTAATGAGGTGACAGTCAGCACCTGCACAAGCAATGGCAAAGCCATCAACATAGAGGGATGACCAAATATTGGATAGTGCACAGCCATTCTCTGGTGCCTATGCTGGGCCATGTACTGCTATCACCAACAGCCTGATTAATTAGGATATCAACCAGAAGGCTTGGTCTATGACAAGACCATGGGGAAGGGGGGAGGGAAACTGAGGACTTCCAGTCAAGCATGTCTAGCCGAGCATCTGGTAACACAGCACCAGATGCTTGGCATCGCCTGACCTGTACCTGATCCTTTATGCTCTATTAACAGCTGTCTCAGTGTGTTCCTCGTATATATGATAAACCTGCATTAAGTGGTGAAACACAGCATAAATAAATCTTTTTTTTTCTTCAACAGTGGCTGTCTTCCACTGAGGCAGGGTGACCTGAAAAATAAGAATTTTTTTCTTCTTTTCACATCTAGTAATTTATACAGGAGAAAGGGTTACTAGCCCTTGTTCCCGGCATTTCAGTAGCTTCTAATGATGTGTGGCTTACAGAGGAAGGGTTCTTTTCCACTTCCCCATGAAGAAATAAAAAGCTCTTTACAATAAGTGTCATTCTAGCACCAGTACTTGAGACAAAGTGTAAATGATTCCCATAACTTGTCAATAACATGACAAACAATGACTTATACATACAAGAGGTGTAGTCTTGGTAATGAGAGTAGAAAGTACAATCATTTCATAGTCTCATAATTTACTAACCTGAGTGTTGAGTCCAGAGGAGTACTCCAATGTGGACTCTCCTGATTCCCGCCCTTCGTTCTCGATGTCTTCCATGTTTCCTCGAGTCATGGGCACCAAGATGTCATCCATCTTGCACTGCTTCAAAATCGAGTGTCTGCACACCAAGAAATACAGCTACACATTAGAAGATAATTGCTATATAATTGTAATAACACGACTGTGAACTACGGAACAAGTGGGGTAAGCCACTCGGCCAGTTGGTCGAGTGGCTTACACACTGGCCTGGAGTTCTAGGACTCGCTCACCGTGGGTTCAAACCCCACCCATTCTGCTGTTTGTTGTATAATTTTACATCAACTGAACAAAAAGGTTACAATACAGTCTAGAAGATGAGGAAACTTTATATGGCTTTTCTGTCATTTCTGAGCCATTATAGTCATGACTGGTGTTACTTGATAATGACCCACAAAGGATCAAACAATCACCTTGCAAACACAAATAGTCACCTCCTTGCAAACTCAAATAGTTATTCACTAACCTTTCCCCTTTCTTTTGTTCTGTCTTGTGCTCAATGGAATTGATTTGTTTCTGAATACTTTGTATGTCCTTAGCAATGGCTCCCACTTCTCGACGAGCCTTACCAATCTCATCATCCATCTCATCACATTCTGATTTCTTAGCTAATTTCTCAGATCGCTTCTTCTCCAGATCTCTCATAGATTTGTCAATCTCTCCCATCTGTAAGGTGAAATATGATTTTAAAACACACACAAAAATTAAATATACAGTATTAAATGGTATATTAATTTTTTTCAACAAACCGGCCATATCCCACCAATGCAGGGTGACCTAACAAGAAAAAGAAGTCTCTTTTTAAATTTAGTAAGGTATACAGAAGGGGTTACTAGCCCCTTGCTCCCGGCATTTTAATCACCTCTTACGACATGCATGGCTTACGGAGGAAGAATTCTGTTCCACTTCCCCATGGAGGTAAGAGGAAATGAACAAGAGGAAGAACAAAATAGAAGAGAAGCCAGAGGGGTGTGTATATACTATATGCTTGTACATGCATGTGTAGTGTGACCTAAGTGTAAACAGAAGTAGCAAGATGTACCTGAAACCTTCCATGTTCATTGTTCTAAGACAGTATTTAAAAAAAAATCTGTCAAATTATGTACAAACCTAGATGACAAGTTTAATGTTATTATGGGAACATTCTGACAATAACACTCCCAGGGATCTATAAACTAGAGTACTGTATATTATAACTTTTAATTTGTTGACAGTTATTTAATGTCAATCAACTTTCACATATTCAAAATAAATTTAAATTAACTATTGTACAGTGAGCCTCCTTAAAAATTGACACTGCATGCTGAGATTTCTTGTGAACGAGTCTGAAAAAAATGCAGTTTCAAAAATTAGTACGTATTATTATTAGTCTTATCATAACTGGGAGATGGCCATCGAGGTAAAAAAATACATTATTCATGGGGAAGTGGTGAACCTGTAGTGGTCATAGATTGAGTGGAAAATGGGTAATCACCAGTTCTGTACTAAAGGAGGGTAACTCCAATTCCTTGGATCAAGAGTCCATTAGCCCCATCAAGGTACTCTGCTAAACAATAACATTAAGATGTACCATTAGCCTACCTGCTTCAGCTCTGCCTGTTTGGCCTGCTCCAGAGCATCCTCATCATCCTGCACAGCACGCTCCCATCTTGCCACATTGCTCTGCGTGTCTCGTGATTTTTCAAATTCTAACTGGTTTAATATACGGTTCTTTTGTTTCTCAAATTCTAAGCGACGGTTGGCACGGTCAGTCTGTGCCTGCAACTCCCTCTCTTCGTACTGACGAATATTTGAAACCCCGATGGATTTACAAAATTCGGCAAAAACAACGTCTTCTACGGTGTTCATCTTCTCCTTGACGTCACTCATGAGAGCCTCACGTTCTGACATGGTTTTCTCTATGTCATGTAGCTGTGGCTCAAAGGTATTCAGCTCAGCTTTATGTTTGTCCAATTCTTTCTGTAACTGTGCAATCTGCTTCTCTGTAGTCTCCTTGTCAGTTTTTGAATACTTCAGTCGAGTTTCAATGCCACGGACCTGAGATTCGACTGTGTTAAGCTCGGACTCCTTTCGTGACTTCTTCATGGCTTCTCTTAATTCCTCAGATAACTTCTCCTTAGAGGACTTTAGGTTAGACAGATGCTTTTCATCCCATCTCTTGGCTTTTCTTGCCAAATCCAAACTACCCCCAGAGATAATGCCAGATTTGGAGAAGAACGTACCATCCAGAGCAACAGCATCATATCTGTGTCCATCCTCCATCTCATATGCCACCTTTGAGGCATCTTCAGGGGTTTCACAGACCAGTGCATTATTTGTGGCAAACAAAACAGCTCGCTTGATCTCCGGTGGGTCGTACTGCAAAACATCATAAAGGAGTTTGACATTTCTTGGGTCTTTTATATTCCTTAGCCTTTCCTTCAGAGGCTTGGCTTGAATGTAATCCAGAGGAAGGAATGTCTCTGGGTCAAGCATCTGGTCCTTCAGGTACTGTACGCACTGCCGCGCTGTCTTCTCTGTGTCAACAACTATGGCCTCCATATACTTGCCAAGGACCTTTGTGATGGCTACATTATATCTGTTAGAAACAAAGAAAATAATTCATTATCTTATTCACATGAACTGCTAAAATACTTACGTGAAAGCCTCCCATATACAGTGTGGCTAAAACTCTACTTGTTAATTTTGAAATCCATTTACTCAAGTACTATGTGATCATAAGCCAATGTTAAAAATCTTTATGCTGATTTGAAGCCTTTAATACATACTTAATGATAGCTACATAACAAGTCTTATAACAAAGTATCTCATTTTTCCAATCATAAAAATATAAATACTGTATAATAGTGGTATAGAAAATGGTTTAAGAAGACTTAACACATACCAAGACATACAATCTAAAGTTAGTGATAAGCATCTAAATTTCAAAGAAAAATGATTTACTCTAACAATGGTGGAAATCATACATAACAAGAAAAAATTTAATATTTATAACTGAAGAAGTGCAGTAATTAGCACTATAGTATCATCAGTATAAGTTAAATGGTAAGACAATTTTGGTCACTGTTACCGACACATTCAGCAAAAGAAATGTTATATACAGAACAATAATGACAATATTATACACACCTCTTGTGAATAGGTTGACACATGTTGATCATACGATCATATACCCCAGAGTAGAGCTGCTTGAAATTCTCCACAATTTCCTGCTTCTTTTTTCGCCGAGAATCTTCATGCTTGTCGACCCGTGCATCTCCCAACTGTTCTGTCACGTTTTCCAGCTGTTCTTGAAGCTGCGTGATTCTCTCCTTGCTGTACCCAACATCTGATACCAATTCCTGATGAAATATACAAACAAATGTAAAGTGAAGAGCACTTTCAAGGGCACTCAATTAACCCGTAAACGGTCCAAACGTATATACAGTGGACCCCCGCATAACGATTACCTCCAAATGCGACCAATTATGTAAGTGTATTTATGTAAGTGCGTTTGTACGTGTATGTTTGGGGGTCTGAAATGGACTAATCTACTTCACAATATTTCTTATGGGAATAAATTCGGTCAGTACTGGCACCTGAACATACTTATGGAGTGAAAAAATATCGTTAACCGGGGGTCCACTGTATACGTTTTTTCAACATTTGAAACTATGTAAAAAAAGTAGATCTTTTTGTTTTTGTTTTTTACATTTGAAAATGTGTAAAAAAACTTTGATCTACTTTTTTTTTGTTACATTTGAAAATATGTAAAAAAAACGTAGATCTACTTTTGTAGCACTACACATGTGAACGTAGATCTGCTTGGACCGTTTACGGGTTAAATAAGGTAACAAAGACATACGAAAAAGTAAAGAAGTGTTGTTATAATAAAATGTTATGCTGCTTCATGCATCTTTCTCATCCACCTGTTGGCCGGTTGCTTCTTTAACCTCTATATGGAATCTTTCCATCCAAACAAATTACTGCCAATAGATCCCTGCCTGTCTTCAGAAGGGAGCTGGACTGATGCCTAGTCAGTACCCTATCAGCAGGGCTGTGGTTCATACAGTGGACTGCATGAGGCCAGCAGTAACACCCTGGTTGATCAAGCCCTGATCCACTGGGAGGCCTGGTCAAGGATAAAGGCATCGGGGGTGTTGACCCCCAGAACACCCTCTAGCTAGACCACTCCACTAACAGTTTTAGAAGAATATTATTACTAATGGTTTCTGGAATCAGTTCCCACAACCTGGTCTCAGACCAAGCCTCTTAAAATATAAAGGAAGTAAATACTGCAAGAATAACTCATTTTAAAAAACTCACAGAAAGTAAAGCTAAGTGCACTCAACTTAGGAATAAATTTGTAATATTTACCAAGCATCTTACATGTCCATGGGATAGAAAAAACACTAGCAATAATGCCAGTACAATAAAAGTCAATCTCTTAAAGCTTTTTCCTTTTTTAACACACTGGCCGTCTCGCACCGAGGTAGGGCGACTGAAAAAAGCAGCATTTTCACCATCATTCACACTGTTACTGTCTTGCCAGAGGTACAAAGATATGAGAGTTAAGGCAGTGGAAGAAAAGTACCTGTCTTAACCTCTTCTGATCTTCCAGCGATGCTTCAGACTGACGGATGTGCTCCATTAACTTCTCTACCCTCTTCTGTGCCTCATCCAGCTCGTGACCTTTTTGTCGCAGTCGGTTCTCTATTTCAGCTGTGCGTCGCTGGGCATTATCCAGACGGTCTTGATCCGACTTCTGCTCACGGTTGATGGAGTCCAGCTCCTGCAGGTACTGGGCAGATTTGCGGGCTGCTGCATTCTTAAGTTTATGATACTCTTTGACTTGCACCTCTTCTAGTTGCACACTTTTACCTATGATGAATGTACAATTGGAAAATAAGACCTTTCTGCACAGTCAAAGACTGATGGGAACCAAAAACTGATGTGAAATGCAATAGTATGGCAAATAAAAGAGGTAAAATAAATGTTTAACAAGAGAAGAATATAATAAAAATAGAATGCCTCAAATTGTGGTGCCAAATGAAGGATATATGAGAAATACAGAACTTTACATGCATAAGAGCACAATGGTAAAATGAATGAGGACAATGAAAGAAATGAGTTTACAATAAGATCAAATTAAATTATTAACAATGTAAAAAGAGAGCAAATGAGAGAGTGGGTGAGATGTTATCAACAAATTTTGTTGAAAATAAGAAAAAGTTTTGGAGTGAGATTAACAAGTTAAGAAAGCCTAGAGAACAAATGGATTTGTCAGTTAAAAATAGGAGAGGAGAGTTATTAAATGGAGAGTTAGAGGTATTGGGAAGATGGAAGGAATATTTTGAGGAATTGTTAAATGTTGATGAAGATAGGGAAGCTGTGATTTCGTGTATAGGGCAAGGAGGAATAACATCTTGTAGGAGTGAGGAAGAGCCAGTTGTGAGTGTGTGGGGAAGTTCGTGAGGCAGTAGGTAAAATGAAAGGGGGTAAGGCAGCCGGGATTGATGGATAAAGATAGAAATGTTAAAAGCAGGTGGGGATATAGTTTTGGAGTGGTTGGTGCAATTGTTTAATAAATGTATGGAAGAGGGTAAGGTACCTAGGGATTGGCAGAGAGCATGCATAGTTCCTTTGTATAAAGGCAAAGGGATAAAAGAGAGTGCAAAAATTATAGGGGGATAAGTCTGTTGAGTGTACCTGGTAAAGGTATGGTTAGAGTTATAATTGAAAGAATTAAGAGTAAGACGGAGAATAGGATAGCAGATGAACAAGGAGGCTTTAGGAAAGGTAGGGGTGTGTGGACCAGGTGTTTACAGTGAAACATATAAGTGAACAGTATTTAGATAAGGCTGAAGAGGTCTTTGTGGCATTTATGGATTTTGGAAAAGGCATATGACAGGGTGGATAGGGGGGCAATGTGGCAGATGTTGCAAGTGTATGGTGTAGGAGGTAGGTTACTGAAAGCAGTGAAGAGTTTTTACGAGGATAGTGAGGCTCAAGTTAGAGTATGTAGGAAAGAGGGAAATTTTTCCCAGTAAAAGTAGGCCTTAGACAAGGATGTGTGATGTCACCGTGGTTGTTTAATATATTTATAGATGGGGTTGTAAGAGAAGTAAATGCGAGGGTCTTGGCAAGAGGCGTGGAGTTAAAAGATAAAGAATCACACACAAAGTGGGAGTTGTCACAGCTGCTCTTTGCTGATGACACTGTGCTCTTGGGAGATTCTGAAGAGAAGTTGCAGAGATTGGTGGATGAATTTGGTAGGGTGTGCAAAAGAAGAAAATTAAAGGTGAATACAGGAAAGAGTAAGGTTATGAGGATAACAAAAAGATTAGGTGATGAAAGATTGAATATCAGATTGGAGGGAGAGAGTATGGAGGAGGTGAACGTATTCAGATATTTGGGAGTGGACGTGTCAGCGGATGGGTCTATGAAAGATGAGGTGAATCATAGAATTGATGAGGGAAAAAGAGTGAGTGGTGCACTTAGGAGTCTGTGGAGACAAAGAACTTTGTCCTTGGAGGCAAAGAGGGGAATGTATGAGAGTATAGTTTTACCAACGCTCTTATATGGGTGTGAAGCGTGGGTGATGAATGTTGCAGCGAGGAGAAGGCTGGAGGCAGTGGAGATGTCATGTCTGAGGGCAATGTGTGGTGTGAATATAATGCAGAGAATTCGTAGTTTGGAAGTTAGGAGGAGTGCGGGATTACCAAAACTGTTGTCCAGAGGGCTGAGGAAGGGTTGTTGAGGTGGTTCGGACATGTAGAGAGAATGGAGCGAAACTGAATGACTTCAAGAGTGTATCAGTCTGTAGTGGAAGGAAGGCGGGGTAGGGGTCGGCCTAGGAAGGGTTGGAGGGAGGGGGTAAAGGAGGTTTTGTGTGCGAGGGGCTTGGACTTCCAGCAGGCATGCGTGAGCGTGTTTGATAGGAGTGAATGGAGACAAATGGTTTTTAATACTTGACGTGCTGTTAGAGTGTGAGCAAAGTAACATTTATGAAGGGATTCAGGGAAACCGGCAGGCCGGACTTGAGTCCTGGAGATGGGAAGTACAGTGCCTGCACTCTGAAGGAGGGGTGTTAATGTTGCAGTTTAAAAACTGTAGTGTAAAGCACCCTTCTGGCAAGACAGTGATGGAGTGAATGATGGTGAAAGTTTTTCTTTTTCGGGCCACCCTGCCTTGGTGGGAATCGGCCGGTGTGATAATAAAAAAAAAAAATAATAATAAATAGTAACCCCTTGTCCTGTATAAATTACCTGTTATTTTTATGTAGCCGGACTTGAGTCCTGGAAACGGGAAGTACTTTAAAGGAGGGGTTTGGGATATTGGCAGTTTGGAGGGATATGTTGTATATCTTTATACGTATATGCTTCTAAGCTGTTGTATTCTGAGCACCTCTGCAAAAACAGTGATTGTGTGAGTGAGGTGAAAGTGTTGAATGATGATGAAAGTATTTTTGTTTTTCTTTTTTAGGCCACCCTGCCTTGGTGGGATACGGCTGGTTTGTTGAAAAAAAAATTATCCTATCAACAAATGTACCATAGAGTACATAGCATTGCTACTGCAAAATCATCAAGTTGAAATATCTTAAGTCGAACCATCGTAAAGCGAGAAGCACCTGTATAAATATCTACACACCTTGGCTCTCCGAATCCTGTGAGACTTGGTCTTCAAACTCAGCTCTTTTCTTCTCAACCTCCTGCAGTTCACTCTCCAGCTCTCTGATGTCATCCATGTGAGCATTGTGAGCTTTTATGGCTTGTGCGAGTGACTTGCGAGCTGAATCAGCCTTTTTTTGCATGTGAGTTACTCTCTCTTTAGCCTTTATGAACGTTGGTCGTTTTTTGTTGACATCTGATTCCTGCCACAAGAGCATACCACATTAAACTCCAAACAATTAAAACAGAAATGAAATAGAGGGATTAAAAAAAATACAAATTAAATGTAAATTACAAAAAATCTACCTAAAGAAGAAATTATTCTGGAATACAACAAAAATGTTTTCTTAAATTAATTATTTACTTCATAAATCATGAATAGGTATCTAGACAATTATTATCCGTATGATGAAAAATAAGCCTATATATATGTTATGTAGATGCAAAGTAAATCACTCTATGCAAGGTTGCTTCGAATTCTTTCAAAGCGTGTGATTCAAAGCAAGGAGCGACAGAGGATCAATCATCTCCCTGTTAGTTGCCTGACCTGTCAGGTTGTTAACTACCAAGACTACTTCAGAGCAATACTCTGATTTAATACAAATTCTTAGTACAGTATAGTTCAAATTTTCCATAGGGTATCAAAAGTTATGTCATAAGGAAACAAATGCAATTCAGATTTAATGTATGAGTGGTAAATATATTGAATAAACTCAGAAATGATCAAGAGGAAGTAAACTTGGCAAAAAATAGTTATAACAAGACTTAATCACTTCAACTGGTTGAGAGGCAGGACCTAGAGTTTACCCTTCTAAACTCAAATAGGTAATTATAAACACCTATAAAAGGGTTCATGCTACTATTGCACTCACTAGCTCTCTAGTACTTAAATAGGCACCTATAAAAGGCCCACTGTTACGAGATACACTCACTAGTTCTCTAATGTCCTGCTCCATTTTAGCCATTTCCCTGGATACTCGAGTGTGTTCTTTCTTCTTCTCTTTCAAGACTTCTTCTGCCTTTTCTTTCTTCTTCTCCACTTTCTCCAGGTCCGCCTGCTTTCTCCGTGACTCCTTCTTAAACTCAGCAATCTCTTTTTCATTGTGGTATAATCTGAACAGCTGCATTTCCATTTGCTTCTCTCCCTATCAAGAATATAAATGTTTCAGAACATCAGGGTTAAAAATTTAATTACAGTACAAGCAATTATTAGCATATGTATTTAGGATTCTTGATGGGAATTATTTACAGAACATGGTATTCAGATCATGTGTGGGATATCAATGGTAAAAATTTAAAATTATCAATGATTAGATGGTATGTTAAGAACAATGAATATTTAAGCCAATTTACATTCAGTAATTTATACAGAAGGGGTTACTAGCCCCTTACTCCTGTCATTTTAGTCGCCTCTTGTGACATGCATGGAGGAAGGATTCTTCTCCGCTTCCCAAAGAAATGCATTTTTTTTTACACTGGGTTTGATAAGGTTTGGTTAAGGGATCTCTAGCTTTACTGACAAGCTATTTACAAGTTAAGGATTCCTAACTTTATTGACAAGGTAAGAGCTGTTACCTACATCAGCTCATTTGAAAGCATTTTATTGTTGTGAGACATACAAGTAGGGAACAGGATGAAGTAGGAGCCATCTGTCGGCCAGCATTTTCTTTTGATCAACTATCTCGTTGACATCATAATCCTGTACGAATGTCATCCTGGGGATAAATGATCTCAGATGAAGTGATATTCTGGAGAAGGGTACAGCCAGAGTGATGTTGCTGCTTTCTGCCTATCTTGTGGTAGACTGTAAGCTAATAATGATAAGTTCGCACATAATTCCTAGGCATAATAGACTCTCTCTTTGCATTGCAACCCACTATTGTAAATATAAAATCTCAATGTACTGTTTGCAAAGACATAAAATAAATAAAAAATAAATAGAAGCTTGCTTCTCGCTGTCCTTGAAGTGGATCCAAGTGTGGTACTTTGACAATGTTGGCCACATAACAGTAAGGCCACCCACATCCCTCCTGTGTTGAAGGCTTTGCTGAAATGACAGATCTATCCAGGATGGGTCTAGGTGAGAGATGAGAAGTCTTGTTCTGTTCTCTACTGTCAGGCAAACCAAGAAAGTGGAGCATACTCAAGGTGTGAGCGTACTTGTGCCTCATACAAAATTTTGCAACCCCTACTGTCAAGCAGATGCGAGATACGGCGAAGTGCTGTAAGCTTCCTGGCTGCCTTGTTTGCAAGATTTACAATGTGGTTCTACATGGTCAATTTGGAGTCAAATTTCATCCCAAGGATATCAACTTCTTCCTCAGGTACCAACACCCTCCCATTCCTACTTACTACCGCACCGGCATTACCATCATGGTGCCTAGAGACCATCGTCAATTGTGTTTTCTCAGGTGCAAATGTTACTTGCCACTGGTTTCCCCAAGCTGATATACCTCTTAGCTGGTGATTGATGTAGCTTAGAGCAGCTGGCATTTCTTCTCCTGGATAAGTGAATGTCAGAGTACAGACGTCCGCATGTGCATGGGATTCTGGGATGAGATGAAGGTCCTACGCTGCATCTTCAATAGTAATAGAATCTTAACTCTCTCGTCCAATCTTAGGATTGTGATAGGTTGTAACAGTTGTCGTAAATAACTAGACAGGAGTTCCTGACACCAACATAAATGCACTGTAATGCTAGATTACATGACCCTATAGTACTGTAAGCAGCAAGTTGGACCAGCACTGGGGGTCATCCCAACCCTAAACCTGTAGAGGATATACAGTGTCTGCAGAATGTGGAGTCTGGCTTGATCCAAGGAGAGGAAGGAATGCTCAAATTCTTTGGATCAAAATAATTATGCAACTCAAATTCTTTGGATCAAAATAATTATGCAACTAAGATATACAAATTAATTCAAAATCTACAAATGAATAAAAATTATGACACTGATATAACCATACAATTATGTGTTATGTAAATGGTTTATTAAAACGACAGGTTGAAGACTGAGACACCTGTGCAATAACTGTCTCATTATTCAAATTACATTAAAACTGGTATGAGGTGTTATGTCCATGTGGATCATTCATCAGATGGAGTGGTGGAAGTCAATCCTCCATCCACTAAGCATGAGACTGACACACTAACAGTGCCTTAACCCGTAAACAGTCCAAGCAGATCTACGTTCACATGTGGTGCTATAAAAATAGATCTACGTTTTTTTTTTACATTTTTTCAAATATAACAAAAAAAAAAAAAGTAGATCAAAGTTTTTTACACATTTTCAAATGTAAAAAAACAAAAAGAAGATCTACTTTTTTTACAGACTTTCAAATGTTGAAAAAACGTATATATACGTTTGGACCGTTTACAGGTTAAACTAGACAAAGCATTATAAAACGGATCTGAAGGAGATGACTCACCAACTCATCTTTGAGCCTCTGGTATCTCTCCGCTTCCTCCTTCTCTTGTTTAGCTTCCTTTCGCTCAGCGGCAATTCCTTTCTTCTTCTGATAGGTGAACTGTGTATCCTCCTCAGCCTTCAACATCTCTGTTTTCAAGCGGTCGTATTCTTCCTTTAGTGCCCCAGACCTAACGACATAATTAATTAATCATTATAAGCCTGAGCTTGCTATCACCTGCAGCTCATAAGACTGCCATCCCCATGAGCCCCTTTGGGGTGGGGCAGATGGCAGACCAGAGGCCTAGCTTCTCCCTACGAGCCCCATGAGGGCGGGGACTGTGGTTAGGCCTGGGGACACTTGGTCCCAAAGATGAGGGGGTACTTTTACCTCCTCCCATGGGAGACTTAGGTCTCGAGATACTCCCCAGATAGGGAGCCAAGGCAGGGTCACCACTACTTGGAAAAGACCCGGGCCATCTCCCACCAAGGCAGGGTGACAATAGTACATGTTGTACTTACAATTAATAATGTCAAAATCACTGCAAACCATTATGAAACTTTAAAAAATGTGGATCAAAACTAAAAACACCTAAATTATTACTTACCAAATCATCAAACTCTGTATAGTGAACCCTCAAAGGAGCTGAGTAATAGTGGGCATTGTCCGAGTGTCCATCATATCAGAATAACGATACCAAAAAATGAACTAGAGTACTCTACTATATACCTAACATAGCACTGTACATACAATTCACTGGTATACTGCAAAAAACATTCAAAATAGAGGAGTTAAAAGTACAATTTAACCAGTGGATTTTGCCTGTAATTTTAAAAGTCAGTTGTATGGAGGGTATACTGTATTTAAAAATTCATTTCTCAGTGCACTCTTACCCACTAAGTTCCTCAAAGAGAGCTGTTCTTTCCTTTGGGTTCTTCATGGCTATGGACTCCACTGCTCCTTGGAAAACCAAAAAATTTTTCCCTTTGACATTGATCCCCAAGGCTTCAAGTTCCTTCATGTATGTTTGACTGCTCACAACCTAGAAAATAATGACATATTTTAGTACAATAATCTGTATTTGAAGACTACATGAACTGGAGTATACCTGGAGAGGGTTTCGGGGGTCAACGCCCCCATGGCCCAGTCTGTGACAAGGCCTCATAGTGGATCAGGGCCTGATCAACCAGGCTGTTACTGTTGTCCGTACGCAACCTGATGTACAAACCATAGCCCGGCTGGTCAAGTACTGACTTTAGGTGCCTGTCCAATACCTTCTTGAAGAGAGCCAGGGATCTATTGGTAATCTCCCTTATGTATGCTGGGAGCGTTGAACAGTTTTGGGCCCCCTCACTTATTATGTACTAGTTCAAGAATAAAAACACATTTATACTTGTATATACTGTTGGAGTGTTAACAAGGTAATATTTACGAAGAGGTTCAGGGAAAACAGTTAACTGGACCCGAGTCCTGGAGGTGGGAATTACAGTGCCTAAACTCTGAAGGAGGGGGCAGGAATATCTGCAGCTTTGAACTGTAGTATCAGCACCCTTTTGACAAGACAGAGATGGAGTGAGTGATGTTAAAAGTGTTTCTTCTTTTTTTGGGCCACCCTGCCTTGGTGGCAAATGCCCAATGTGTTAAAAAAGAAAAAAAAATACTGTATCATGTTTGTTAGCCTTTTTCTTCTAAATCCTTAAAATATCACTAAGTCCACTGGGCCAAAAATTTTGAAAATATGGTATTTTATTTTACTTCCCTGGTAAGTCAATGAGTCAAAGGGGCCTATGACCCACAAACTACTATGACCCACAAACTACAATATCTAACAAGGGACATATAGAACAAGACTTTATTCAGATTATTACTCCAAGAGGTTTAAAAAGATATGAAACCCAATAAAAACAAGCACTTTAGTTTGCTTTTATTGGAGTCCTTAAATCTTCCACAGGATGTGACCTATGACAGTTAACTAACTCCTAGGTATTGTACATATTTAGTAGTACAGCATGTGAAAATGGGCAGAAGGTGTTAGATTTGCCAATCAACCTCACTGCCTACGACTGAGTCATGATTTTTTTAGGTTGTGAGGCAAATGCTCAGTAGTGAGGCCAAGGGAAGACCGAGGCTTCTCCCCATAATCTTCCCCAGCTCCCCTAGATCCCTCCCACATAAAATTAAAGGTACAGTGTCCGCACTCTGAAGGACAGGTGTTAATGTTGCAATTTTATAACTGTAGTGAAAAGCACCCCTCTGGCAAGACAGTGATGGAGTGAATGATGATAAAAGTTTTTCTTTTTCGGGCCACCCTGCCTTGATGGGAATCAGCCAATGTGTAATAAAAAAAAAAATAACAACTCGGCTTGCAACCACACTGTCACCGCTAAGCCCTTCCTATTCACAAAGTTTGGAGCCACCCCGTATAAATGCTCTATCACTGAGCCATGAGAAACCACACCACATCTATAATAAAACTATTAAATTTATTTAAAATGACATTTTCAATTTATATAATAATATACAAAATTCATTGTAAAACAAAACAGAACACATCAATTTTTACCTCTCCATTGATTTTATGGTCTGAGGAAGAACCCTGAACCAAACGAGTGAATCTCTTTTCCTTGCCATCTTCCATTTCAAAGACTGCCGTTACATGGGCCGAGCGAGATATAGGCTGGCCAATGGAGGCACCATGGATGAGATCACTCAGTCGTTTGACTCGTAAACTTGAGGTCTTCTCACCCATGACAAAGGAGATGGCGTCCATGAAATTTGATTTCCCTGTGAATAAGACAACTCATGAGCTGCAGAAGACATAACAAACACGAGGAGTGCAACAATGAACTTCAAGTGACATTACTAAAACAAATGCTCTGGGTGGTTTTAACCCTTAAATGGTCCAAACGTATATATACGTTTTTTCAACATCTGAAAGTATGTAAAAAAATGTAGATCTTTTTTGTTTTACATTTAAAAACATGTAAAAAAAACTTTTATCATTATTTTTTTTATATTTGAAAATATGTAAAAAAAAAGGAAATCTACTTTTGTAGCAATACGAATTTGAACGTCGATCTGTTTGGACCGTTTAAGGGTTAAAAAGAGATTAACAGACATGGTGGGAAAAAAAAAATTAGTTACAATGGAGTCCTTTACTGACGCAATATTTTCCACCCATGGACAGACTTTTTAAGAATGATTCAAAATTCCAGCGGGATGTAACACGAGACCTCAATTAATGATGACCTCACAGAATTCATGGCAGCACATGGTATAATTGGAGGCAATCAGGTTTGACTAACGGGAATTCTGATCCAAATCCTTGGAATAAGAACCCATCAGAATCAAGGAACACCTATTTCTTGCTTCACCTTATATTAGCTAATTATTACAATCAAGGGAAAAGTGCTAAACCCATAGGATTACACAGCACCTGCAGGGAATGTGGAAGGTATTCAGGTTTAATTCAGGGAACTGGAGCACAGATCCAATTCCCTAGATCAAGAGCCCCTCACCAACATCAAGGAACCTCCTTTGAGGGGTTATATGTGAGTGAAGAAGCCTGCTGAGCAGGTGTTAAGTTTACCAAGACACAAGCAGCTTTATTTAGGCACACATAAGCAAAATTATCATACACAGTAATACGTGTGTAAATTACCCAATATAACACGTCGGTTATAAAGATATCTAAGTGTTGCAGATATGTCTTATATAACAAGTTGCAGGTATTGTATATCATTAATATAACCAGGAAAGATCAATAAGGTATATTTGTGCAATAGTTGGGCGCCTTTAAGGTAATATTTATGATAATTAAGGAGGTTTTGAAAAATACTGATGGGCAATGTGAGGTGATCAGGTTTGATCCATGGGAAGGACACCTTCAATTTCTTGGATCAAGAGCCCTTCACCAGCACCAAGGCACCCATATTAAACAACGGGAAGGTAAAAATAGGCCTCACCTGATCCATTAGGACCAATAACAGCAGTGAAAGGTTTGAGTGGCCCGACATGATAGAACCCTCGATATGACTTAAAGTTCTCAACTTCAATATATTTGAGTATCGCCTTCATCTTCCCGGGGCTCTGCTGCTTCTTAACGTCTCATGACGACCAAAAACCGCCAACTAGGGGGTGATTTTCAGTGTTTTTTTCGAGAGGAATCCAAAATAAGGTAACTTGGCGCGAAGGACAACAATTACTGACCAGAAACATTGATGATGGTTCTATTTCCAAACAAATCATTAATATTTTTAATAAATAATAATAAATCCATCAAGCACCATGTTACAAAATACATTATCAATATATTTTAAAATTCCATAATAAAACCCCATAAAAACTAAATAAATTGATAATTATAATTATGAAGCTCCAGCAGACGCCGGTAAATATTTCTTTAATGATGGCAATATAACACCACATAAGATGCTGACATAATATATTATAAACCAAACGATAACCCAAAATACCATCAGCAACAATGGTATATAAGAACGTTTGACTTTTATGGAGAAATGTGTAGTTGGTTGACGGTGGCGTCGTCTGCTGACACACTATACAAGGCGGGAAACTCTTAACAATAAGAGATAACACTAAGTTGGCAACTGTTCCCTCGTAAAAAAAAAAAAAAAAACGCGCGCACGATCTCCTTTGTTTACAAACACTGGAATGTTTGTAAACAAAGAGATGCTCCATATATAAATATTAATTTTTATTTCTTGATGCTGTACAAAATAATGTTGTTTATATGTAAGCAAACCTTGATAGGCACAAATGACACCAGTAGAAATAAGTCACGTCGGATTTTTTGGGGGGTTATCCTGGGTAATTTACACCATGTATCATTATTATATTTTGTGTACCTGTGTCTAAACCCTAGGTGACGTAAAAGCATAATATTATTCTGTCTGGCTTCCCATGTTTAAATTCTGTGTTCATGTGATATATGATGATCACGTCTTGCTGAAGATTTTGTCTTATTCTAGAGAACCCCAACGGAAATAAATAACACTGCCTGTAACATTCTTGGATTATCCTGAGTTATTAACCTCCGGGTTAGTAATCCGAATAAGAGGCTTAGTCTGTTTCATTCTTTGTGTCAGATTTCATCAGTAAATTAACCCCATTAACCACAATACAGCTTCATGCTGCTGCACACTAGCAGCAAACTGCAATAGGTGAAAGGTTATTACAGCATATCTACTGTAGTTCTTGCTTGTCTCGCTGAGTCAGATTTCCTGACTCAGAAGCAGCAAGCACTGCATGATCATTGTAAGCAGCCAAAGTTGGCAGAATCAAATCGCATGAATTTACAGGCACACAGATGCAACTTTGCAAAAGTTGCATCTGTGTGCCTGGAAGTGATGCATGGAAGTGATGCTTGTAACAGTGCTTGACTTGTCATGCAGTAGCACCATCAACCCTCCCAACATTCAAAACCAATCTACAAGAAGGAAATTGAAGCTAAACCATGTTTGTAGATGAATGGTTCAGAGAACCGACATGTTGATAAATTAGACACATATGCAACTCTTGGGTATCTTTATTGAGGAAACGTTTCGCCACACAGTGGCTTCATCAGTCCATACAAAGGAGAATCTTGAAGAACAGGAGGAGAATGAGGTAATCAGTCCCTCAACCTTGAGTCGATGTGGTCAGTCCATCAATCTTGAATAGATTGAATAGATTGATGGACTGACCACATCGACTCAAGGTTGAGGGACTGATTACCTCATTCTCCTCCTGTTCTTCAAGATTCTCCTTTGTATGGACTGATGAAGCCACTGTGTGGCGAAACGTTTCCTCAATAAAGATACCCAAGAGTTGCACATGTGTCTAATTTATCAACATGTCGGTTCTCTGAACCATTCATCTACAAATACTCGCGAGTAATAATTGTCCAGGATTGAGCGAAATTTAATTTCGAAATGTTTGTGGGCACAGACTCAGTGCCAATTTTCAAGGCGCCCAGTGGCACACATTACTGTATCAAGGTGCCCAGTGGCACATATTACTGTATCAAGGTGCTCAGTGGCACACATTACTGTATCAAGGTGCCCACACATTACTGTATCAAGATGCCCACACACCATTACTGTCTCAAGGTGGCCACACATTACTGTATCAAGGTGATCACACATTACTGTATCAAGGTGGCCACACACACTACTGTATCAAGGTGCCCACACACCATTACTGTCTCAAGGTGCCCACACATTACTGTGTCAAGGTGATCTCACATTACTGTATCAAGGTGCCCACACACTACTGTATCAAGGTGCCCACACACCATTACTGTCTCAAGGTGCCCACACATTACTGTGTCAAGGTGTAGAGAACCTAGGATAACCAAAAAGTCACACAAAGTGCCCACACATTATTACTGTGTCATCGTACCCATACATCATTACTGTGTCAGGATACCCACATCATTACTGTGTCATGGTACCCACACATCATTACTGTGTCATGGTACCAACATCATTACTGTATTAAGTTACCCACACATTACTGTGTCATGGTACCCACACATCACCACACAAGCTACACATCTGACACATACATTTTTTTCCTCTTCGTCAAGATGGTAGGTACATCGCCCCTCTCACACAATGCTTGCATCAGGGGATTCCATGCCTCTCTGGCCTTCTTGTGGAGGCAGCCTCATGTATTACAACCCGCTGGCATATTGTATTCATGAGCGAATATGATGTCACAGTAACAACAGGTTGATAAGACACATGTCCAACAGTTAGGTGTCTTTATTACGAAACGTTTCGCCTGCACGGTTGGCTTTTTCAGTCGAGTATAGAGGAGACAGTAGAAACAGTAGAGATGTAAAGACCCTTCCAGAGTGGACTAGTGAAAAGGCGGGGCCAGGAGCTGTGACTCGACCCCTCCAACCACATAATGTGATGATCTCCTTGGAAACCACATTTAGATTTAGAAAGGACATAGGTAAGTACTGGTTTTCTAACAGAGTTGTAGATGCGTGGAACAGTCTTCCCAGTGGGGTGATAGAGGCTAGGACCTTGGGTAGCTTTAAGAAGAGACTGGACAAATAAATGAGTGGGAGGGGCTGGGTTTGATTGGTGTCAAGGGGTACGGGAGTTATTTCTTGAGTAGCTTTAGGTAGATGTCGTTATGTGTACGAATGGTATATAATACCGACAAGATGAGATTAAGACACATGTGCAACATCTGGGTATCTTTATTGTAGACGTTTCGCCATCCAGTGGCTTTATCAATACAAATTCTTAGGACATAACTTGAAGACAGTAGAACTATGTACAGAAGATGAGGTAATCAGTCCCTCAACCTAGGAGTAGGTGCGAAGAGCACCATAGTCGTGGAGATTCTGAAGCAGAAGAAAGGAGCCTGGCGCTTATATAGTAACGTCAGGTGTAGCAGACGAGGGCATATTCACTGGTAGGCGGGATTCCCCAGTGGAAGTAGGTCCTTCCCAAAGAGATGGGTTAGTTGTAGTAGTAGTTGTCGTAGTCGTGAAGGTTATGTACATGTCCCGCCTACCAGTGAATATGCCCTCGTCTGCTACACCTGACGTTACTATATAAGCGCCAGGCTCCTTTCTTCTGCTTCAGAATCTCCACGACTATGGTGCTCTTCGCACCTACTCCTAGGTTGAGGGACTGATTACCTGGAGTTTACCTGGAGAGAGTTCCGGGGGTCAACGCCCCCGCGGCCCGGTCTGAGACCAGGCCTCCTGGTGGATCAGAGCCTGATCAACCAGGCTGTTGCTGCTGGCTGCACGCAAACCAACATACGAGCCACAGCCCGGCTGATCCGGAACTGACTTTAGGTGCTTGTCCAGTGCCAGCTTGAAGACTGCCAGGGGTCTGTTGGTAATCCCCCTTATGTGTGCTGGGAGGCAGTTGAACAGTCTCGGGCCCCTGACACTTATTGTATGGTCTCTTAACGTGCTAGTGACACCCCTGCTTTTCATTGGGGGGATGGTGCATCGTCTGCCAAGTCTTTTGCTTTCGTAGTGGGTGATTTTCGTGTGCAAGTTCGGTACTAGTCCTCTAGGATTTTCCAGGTGTATATAATCATGTATCTCTCCCTCCTGCGTTCCGGGAATACAGGTTTAGGAACCTCAAGCGCTCCAATAATTGAGGTGTTTTATCTCGTTATGCGCGCCGTGAAAGTTCTCTGTACATTTTCTAGGTCGGCAATTTCACCTGCCTTGAAAGGTGCTGTTAGTGTGCAGCAATATTCCAGCCTAGATAGAACAAGTGACCTGAAGAGTGTCATCATGGGCTTGGCCTCCCTAGTTTTGAAGGTTCTCATTATCCATCCTGTCATTTTTTAGCAGATGCGATTGATACAATGTTATGGTCCTTGAAGGTGAGATCCTTCGACATGATCACTCCAGGTCTTTGACGTTGGTGTTTCGCTCTATTTTGTGGCCAGAATTTGTTTTGTACTCTGATGAAGATTTAATTTCCTCATGTTTACCATATCTGAGTAATTGAAATTTCTCATCGTTGAACTTCATATTGTTTTCTGCAGCCCACTGAAAGATTTGGTTGATGTCTGCCTGGAGCTTTGCAGTGTCTGCAATGGAAGACACTGTCATGCAGATTCGGGTGTCATCTGCAAAGGAAGACACGGTGCTGTGGCTGACATCCTTGTCTATGTCGGATATAAGGATGAGGAACAAGATGGGAGCGAGTACTGTGCCTTGTGGAACAGAGCTTTTCACCGTAGCTGCCTCGGACTTTACTCGTTGACGACTATCTCTGTGTTCTTTAGTGAGGAAATTAAGATACATCGCCCGATTTTTCCTGTTATTCCTTTAGCACGCATTTTGTGCGTATTACGCCATGGTCACACTTGTCGAAGGCTTTTGCAAAGTCTGTATATATTAATCTGCATTCTTTTTGTCTTCTAGTGCTTTTTAGGACCTTGTCGTAGTGGTCAATAGTTGAGACAGACAGGAGCGCCCTGTTTTTAAAACCCATGTTGCCCGGGGTTTTGGGGTAATGATGGGTTTCTAGATGCGTGGTGATCTTGCTTCTTAGGACCCTTTCAAAGATTTTTATGATATGGATGTTAGTGCTATTGGTCTGTAGTTCTTTGCTGTTGCTTTACTGCCCCCTTTGTGGAGTGGGGCTTTGTCTGTTGTTTTTAGTAACTGTGGGACACCCCCGTGTCCATGCTCCCTCTCCATAGGATGGAAAAGGCTCGTGATAGGGG